TTTTTATGGGGCAAGGCCTTGGAGGCTCAGTACAGCTGCCTTTCTCTCGTGAAGATAATTTTAAGAACATCAAAATTGAGAAATCACTTTCAGCAAAACATCTTCCATATCCCCCCAACTCCAAACCTGGATTCTCATGGTCAGCACAATGTGACTGGCTCTAGTTTGTTGTCTCTGATTGGTCAGAAGTGGCTGTTCCTTTTGCCCCCTCTGGACTCCATGGGACAAAGGGGAAAAGCCCTCACAGTACACCTTTTTTGGAAATACCTAAATTTTACTTTTTTATGTGCATAGCAAAAATATTGACAATGTTAAAGAAAAGTTGTACATGTATTTTTTTTCATACTGCCATAAATAAACAAAGACACAAAGTCATTAGGTGCAAACATAATTGACCATTATTATAGGAGACATTATCCATTACTAAATCCCCTAGCTAGTTAGCTCTACCATGGAGGAATAAAACACCTCCATGGCTCTACTGAGTGGAGCGTTAGTAGGCCTACATGTATTCCTCTTTTTCGAATCAGTCACACTAAAAAAAAATCGGAAAAGAGGAATACGAACGTTCCACTCAGTAGAGCTACCGGTATCCTCCTAGCTGTTCTAATCATTCTAACTCCTTACCTGCTTTTTACAACCCTGAAGTGCGTTCTAACCATGATAAAGCTCTATGGCTCTAACCTCTGTTTTAAAGGGCTACCGTACTGAGCTCCGTGGCCTCAAGTAATTTGCAGTGATCCGAGGGACTCACAAACATAGGCTGAACACTCCCTAATTTTGCCATAATGCTGACAATAATTAATACTAACATACTGACAATGTCGACCGATCGATCAGCCCTATGTCTCATCACAGCTACGGAAGGGAAGTCCCTCAGCACGCAATACCATAGAGAAGCTGCAGTCCTTTCACTGAATCCCTTTCCGGGATTGAAGTTCAGCTTTTCGTTTGCTGCAAAACAGTAATCAACTTCTCAAAAACCCAGATAAACTTCCGTCGGTGGCGTTGGTATGACCAAAAACAACAGGCAAGATAAGACAAGAAGGATTTCATGGAAATAAGACACGTATGATACAGATATTGGGCGTATGTAATTAGGCAGCGGCGTATCCAAAAGTGAATACTGCCTCAGGCTTATTCAACATGACGTTGGGGAGAAAAAAATCGAAAACCTTACAGTCCTGACATGACATTCTTGCTTTTATTTTTGCTGATGTTGTTTTCTAAGGGTTTTAGTACTAATATTGATGAATAACTTTCTTTCATAATTAGCTGTAAAGTACTCTTTAAAAAAAATTCGGGGGGGGGGAGAAATTGCCCCCTTCCCCGCTGGATACGCTACTTGTCCTCCAGCTCCCGCCAAACGCAAGAAAAGGGACACAACCATAGAGCTTTATAATTTAGGTCGGTGGACACAACACAGCAGGTGTCCAAAGAACAAGTTGTCTGCGGCCCGCTCACTGCATGCAAGGAACAACAGCCGATTCCCAATTTGCAAATTTGATGCTGATTGGTCAAAGCTTTGGGCACTCGGCGCGCGCAGCCCTCCTGTGTAATGTGTGTAGGCCGAATTTGTGGTGGGACATTGCACTCACTGACACTGCGGCCAGGGAAAGTCTGGTCTGGGATCAAACTGCAGGATGGACGCACTGTTTGAAGGGTAGTAACGTTTTCAGAAACTTTAGAAGGTAATTCCTCAATTTCTTCTGACGTTCACTGATGTTTTTGTAGCATCTCCTGTTCATTTGACATGTTCAGTCCATGTTTAGTCCAAGCTCAAGTCAGACAACGTGTTCACGAAGTTATGGGCCGACCATAGAGTTGGATATAATAATGTTCATTATTATATCCAACTCTATGGGGCCGACTGCCCACCCAATCATCCTGATCTTGGCTAGGCTAGGGCCTATAAACTCGCCACA